TAAAAATTCCTGGATTTCACTGACTAGATTCTGAGTCTCAGTGGAGCCCCTAGATATCTATACATTCAAAAGTCACACAGAGATTCTGATACATACCTCAGTTGAAAGCCACTGTTCGGTACTTTGGAATTGATTCCAACTCATAGCAACCCTGTGTGACAGAGTACAACTGCCCCATAAGATTTTTGTAGCTATTATCTTTTTGGAAGCAGATCAGCAGGTCTTTTTCACTCAGAGCTGCTGGGTGGGTTTGAACTGTCAGACTTTTGATTATACTAAAGAATATGCATCGTGTTTATAGTCTTTACTGCTCTTAAGGAACTCTGGTGGTGTAGTGGGTAAGGCATTTGGCTGCTAATCAGAAAGTCAGTGGTTTTAACCCACCAGCTGCTCCACAGGAGCTATGAGTCAGAATCAACTCAGTGGCAGTGGGTTTGGTTTTTTGGTTTTACTACTCTTAATCCTACAATTCTTTATTTTAACTTTTTTTTTTATCGTGCTTTCGGTGCAAATTTACAGAGCAAATTTTGTTTTACATTCAGTATTTCGTGTACATTTGGTTTCATTCCACAATTACCATCCCCAACCCTACCCACTCTCCCCCTCTCCCTTCCAGTGACCCACCCCCATCCTTGTGCCCTTCTTAGTTACGCACTCCTGTCTGGCCAGCTTTTCCTTCATGTGATTGGTGCCTCTTTGGTGCCCCATGGCCAATTACTATAGGGGATGTATCTCCATAGAGTAAGTGGGTGCATTGCCCTGAGTTGGGTGTTCTGCATGTAAATCTTATTACTGTTGGGCTGAGAGCCAGTCCTTGGGAGTGAGTTTTATCCCAGGCCTGAAGTGTATCCCAGGGCCATAGTATTGGGGGTCCCACCAGACTCCATCCGACCAGTAATTCTGGTCGTTACTGTGTTTTTGAATTTTGTTCTGCATTTTTCCTCTCACTCTATCCAGGTTCTCCAGTTTTGAGCCTTTCCTGAGGGGTTGCCATTGGTAGCTGGGCACCATCTAGTTCTTCTGGTCTAGAGGTCCATCATATTCTAGGGCTGATTGTTTCCAAATGCCCTTAGTTTTCTTCACTCTTCGCTTCTGACAAAAAGAGACCATCAGCTGCATCTTAGATGGCTGCTCAAAAGCTTTTAAGACCCTAGTCACTACTCACCAAAGTAGGTTGGGGAATAAGATTTTTATGTATTATGTTGTGCCAATTAAGCCTGGTGTCCCCCAATACTGTGGTCCTGAGTCGGCAGATCTGGTGGTTCTCTTTCCCACAGTGTATGGCTGTCTGTGAGGGATTGTTCCATGTCTGTCTTCTGTTGCTTCTGTAATGATTGTGGTTATTTTGTATCACTAGTATCTGTGCAAGATTATCCTCAGCTGAATCTTATCATTGGTCTAGAGTTTATTCCTGTTCACCAACCCCTATCTGATCTTCTCTGTTCTTTGTGTATTTATCTGTAGCTTGGTGTTTGGTGTTACTGTTAATGCAGTATTGTGGATATACTGGTATTAGCCTCTGTCGTCTATATCTTATGTGCATAATTCGGTGTCCTCCCTTTCCCCAGTGTTATCATGTTGGTCACCTTTCCATAGCATTCCTCCACTTACCCAAGTCAGCATGTGGCCCCCAGTTAGTCCAAAATTTTCCCCTCCTCTTCCCTCCCATCCACAGTAACCTACAAAGTGAGTTCCCTTCCCTAAGCAAACCCTTCCTCGACTTTTTACAGTAATGGGCTTATACAATATTTGTCCTTCTGGGATTGATTTATTTCACTCAGCATAATGACCTCCAGGTTCATCCACATTGGAAAATGATTCACATATTCTTCACTGTTCTTTAATGTAACATAGCATTCCATTGTGTAAATGTACCATAGTTTGGTTATCCATTCATCTGTTGATGGGCACTTAGGTTGTTTCCATCTCTTTGCTATAGTGATTTTTGCTGCGATGAACATAGGTATGCATATGTCTGTTTGTGTCCTATATCTCACCTCTAATCCTACAATTCTTTAAGGACTCAATATTGAGTTCTTGACTCCTTGGTATCACTACTTATATTTTTTGCATAGTCAGAGATAGATATAAATTCTGGATTTAATTTTAACACATTAATGGGAAATACTGATTATATATTTTAGGCTATACTGATAAATGAAGGTGTATTTTTAAAAATTTTTTATACTTTAAATGCTTCTTCTGTTCCTATGTCTTCTCAGCACAATACAACAGGAAGAAATTTACTTACAGAAAAGGACACATTTATATCCATTCTGCGCAGACATCTTGCTAGTTCATTTCTTAATTTCCCTGCCTTCCTATGGGCATCTTTTTGAGGAACATTCAGATTTTAATAAAATGTTGACTCCTACTTTAAATTGTAGCTTTGCTTGATATAATTCTTGACAACTTACCATTTAAATGCCAGTGATAATATAAAAGATAAACACGAGAGACAGCACAACAGCAATGATGAAGACAGCACTATGTGTTAAAAGTCACATCATCATTGGGGATGGACTGAGAAACAGATTTTTGCTTTGCAGACTTCTTGTTCATATTCTACCATTTAAGTAATACAGATGGCCACAAAGAGAGAAGGTTGGCCCGGGGGTGTAGAGGGGAGGACGGAGAGGGACAGGCTGGCTTGGGTTCCTTTCACTGTTTATTGTGCTGACCAGAAAAACAAATAGCATTCCCACAGCTGAACAGGAACGTCTTATCTGAGATACCCAGAGCTGAATTGTATGTTTTTTTCACCTCTCTTCCCCCAGTAGCTTCTTTATTTCCATATCCATTCAGCAACAAGAATGCTTAGTGTGTAAAACAATGGACAGGAGAGAGGATTTCCCTGGGATGCTCAGTCACCTAACACAAAGCATTTGAAAAAGGGATAAAGGCAGTAATATTATTGGATTAAATGCATGCTCACAAGTATACACTGCACAGAGACAAACAGCAAATGTTTTTCTGATTCTCCAGCTTAGTCATAAAACTGGACCAAATAGCAAATCCACTTAGGTAGGCATTACAGTGTTCAGCTGGGGGGAGGTGGCAATAATCATCTATTAAGGTTTATCCACTTACCATGGTTATTGATAATGAGTCTCCCTAGATTAATTGTTCTCTCTTAAGAACCACCATTGGAGCAGTTCTATTCTGCACACATGGGGTTACCATGAGTTGAAATTAACTCCACAGTAGCTGACAACAAGAGCTACTAAACAGAAATCAACTATTTGGGACTTATCAGGGGAATTTACAAATTAAGAGAAAGATTGGTTTTCCCAGGAGAGTCAGAATAAAAACAGACTCCAGAAATTATTTTTATGCATTTCAAAGGAAAACTTGGATGTAATATTGTCAGTCTTCTCAAAAGATGCTAAAAGATATGACCAACCTCTCTAAAACATTATTAGGAAATGTTAGGGAAGAATAGGTTTAGAATTAAAGAGCTAGACACAAAGGAGGGGAAAAGGGACCTAGAACTGTATTAATAGAAATGGAAAGGAAAAAAAAAAAAAACCTAAAGCAATATAGAGCAGAAATCATTAAAAATAGGTAAAATATATGAGAGAGAAATTTGAGAAGCCCACTCAGAGCAAAGAGGAAAAGGATAAAAATATGAGAGAGAATGTTAGACATGAAGTTCAGAGAATGTTCACCTAAAAAATAATGATTCTAAGGAAGGAACTATATTAATAAAGATAGAAGTAGAAATCAAATTAATGTATGCAAAACTAATCCAGAGATGAATGAAAATATTTCTTAAATCAAGAATTAGAGACCTGGTTAATAAGTATTGGTGGAAGAACAAAGAAAATGAATTTCTTGTCTTGCATGGAAAGTAGAGGAGGAGGAACAGTAATTAAAAATTATTTTTTAAAAAATTCTAAATAATTAGCAATGAATGGTTATGAAAGGCAATTGCTACTAGAATTGTGCATAAAACCAAATCTTACCAAACCTACTGCCATTGCATAGATTTTAACTCACAGCAACCCTATAGGGCAGAGTAAAACTAGCCCCATGGAGTTTCCAAGGGCTGTAAATCTTTTTGTTTTTTTTTAATTGTGAGTTGGGTGAAATTTTATGGGTTGTAAATCTTTATGGAAGCAGACTGCCTGCCATGTCTTTCTCCCACAGAACAGCTGGTAGGTTCACACCACTGATCTATTGGTTAGCAGCCAAACACTTTAACCACTGCACCACTAAGGCTATATTCTAAATACTCCTAGAGGATAAGAATAAAGACAGAAATCAGAGGAAAGGAAGTTCCAAAATAGAAATTATAATGCATCAACTCAAAATTAGAACAATTCTATCAGCACGACAGTAAATATAAGTCGATTAAATTACCTGATAAAAGCTAAGGATACTCAAAAATTGACTATTTGAACAATGTTGTGCTCAAAAGAGGGTCAAAATGGCATAGAAAGGTTAATAATAAAAAGATAGACATATATATAGCTGATAAATGTGAACAAAAAGAAAGCAGAGATGGCAGTACCAATACCAGAACAACTAGCATTCAAGGCCAAATTTATTAGACAATGCAAACTGAGACTTACTTTACTAAATAAAATATATACTGAAGATATAATAGTTACAAATAAGTATGTGTCAAATAACAGCATCAAATTATTTCAAACCCTTAAATTAACAAAGATAAACAGATAAGCACATCTGAAGTATAGGACTTACACATACAATTTTGTAACAAACAAAATTTGCAGAATAAATAGCATTGAGATTTTGATGGTTATTGTTTTTGTTGTTAGGTGCCCTTTAACCCACTCATACTGACTCATAGTGGCCCTATGTACCGTAGAACAAAACACTTCACCGTCTTGAGCCATCCTTGGAATCTTTCTGTTTGAGCCCATTGTTGCAGCTGCTGTCAATCCATCTTGTTGAGGGTCTTCTTTTTGGCTGATCCTTTTCCAAGTATAATGTCCTTCTCCTGGGACTGCTTCATCCTGATGACACGTCCAAAGTGAGGCGAAGCCTCACCGTCCTCGCTTCTAAGGAACATTCTAGTTACACTTTTAAGACCGAGTTGTTTGTTCGATGGGGAGTCCAATATATATTCAATATTCTTCCCCAACACTATAATTCAAATGCATTAGTTCTTCTTTGGTCTTCCTTATTGATTGTCCAGCTTTCTCATGCACATGAAGCAGTTGATAATACTTTGGCTTGGGTCAGATGCACGTTAGTCCTCAAAGTGACATCTTTGCTTTGTAACACTTTAAAGAGGTCTTTGGTAGCTAATTTGCCCAATGCAATGCATTGTTGGATTTCTTGACCACTGTTTCCATAGGCATTGATTGTGCATCCAAGTAAAATGAAATCCTTGACAACTTCAATATTTTTACTCTTTATCTTGATGTTGTTTATTGGTCCAGCTGTGAGGATTTTTTTTTCTTTATGTTTGAGGTGTAATCCATCCTGAATGCTGTAGTCTTTGATTTCATCAGTAAGTGCTTCAAATCCTCTTCACTTTCAGCAAGCAAGCTTGTGTCATCTGTATATCACAGGTTGTTAATGAGTCTTCCTCCAAGCTTGATGCCATGTTCTTCTTCGTAGAGCCCAGCTTCTGAGGTAATTTGCTCAGCATACAGATTGAATAGCTATGATGAAAGGTACAACCTGATACACACCTTTCCAGATTTTAAACCATTGTTTTCCTTTGTTTTATTCAAATGACTGCCTGTTGGTCTATGTACTGGTTCCACATGAGCACAGTTAAAGTATTCTGGAATTCTAATTCTTGACAATGTTACCCATACAAATTACAGATTTAATCCTTACTCCTAAAAATATCTAATAAATGTAAATGTTATATTTTAGGGGAAAATCAGTCAACCATTAAAAGAAAACCAAATTCATTGCCATCGTGTCAATTCTGACTCATAGCGACCCTACAGAAAAAAGTAGAACTGCTCCCTAGGCTGCAAGGCTGTAAATCTTTACAGAAGCAGATTGCCATGTCTTTTGCCCACAGAGAAGCTGGTGAGTTCAAACCACCAACCTTTCAGTTAACAGTCAAATATTTAACCGTTCAAGTGAAGCAAGGCCTGTGTGTGTGTGGGGAACATTATTGTTAGCTGTCTGCAGAAGGATAAAAAACAAGCTACCTGTTACCAGTTGCAATCCAATTGACTCTGACTGGTGGTGACCTGTGTGCCAGAGTGGAACCATGTTGCACGGGGTTTTCAAGGGCAGATTTTACAGAAGTAGATCACCAGGCCTTTTTCCCAGGGTGCCTCTGGGTGCACTTGAATTTCCAACCTTTCCAATGCAGCTGAGTGTGTTGACCATTTTTGCTACTCAGTGACTCACACTACATGTAGATGAAGGAAATACGTATCTTCCACTTTAACTTAGTTGCTATTCTTTAAATGGTTATTGCATTTTTATCAGTTTCTTAGAACTGCTTCCACAAGCCAGCTATAGTTATGGAAGCAATCCCTATTTCTGTCATCAAGTTTTCTTAGAAGTCTTGTTATTGGTGAATTGTTAAGCTCATCTCACAAGAATAATGAGAGTTGGATACCTGACCAAGCCTTTTGTAGAATATGATAAAGCATAAGTACAACCAATTCTATGTCATGAAAGTAAATATGCAGTTACAAGCTTTTGTAATGATTTAACTTTAGAGCAATAAACTTAAGTATGCGATAGTGTTACGAACTTTTAGAGCTAAAAGACAACTAGAAAGATCACTAGTCAGGCCTTTCATTTTCTATATGAAGAAATCAACCCAAAGCAGTCAAGCTAACAACCTGCCTACTGAAAGCTAATTAAATATAGTGTCAAGCGCAGCCGTCTCTTTTCTGATTCATAATGAAAAACATTTTCTTCTTATGAGCTTTTCTTCTCAAAAGAATACATAAGTATGGACATGCTAATTATACCAGAAATTCCAAATACACTGTTTTTAAAAATTATAAATTTATCATAAATATGACCTAAAATAAATATATTGTTAACAATGACTATTATTTACTCACTTGATTTTACTATTGATTTAGTCATTTATCTTACATTCTGAGAAAGGCCCTTTAACCCTGATTTAGATAGCTCAGGTTATTTTTCTTTAAGCTATGAAGGAGATATTAATGTGTTACCTTTTATTCACACTGTTTAGCATGAGTTTTCCAGGTCATATCTTTATCATTAAATTAAAATATTTTTTAAATGACCATTATAATATTATGCCAGGAGCTCTGGTAGCACAGTGCCTAAGGCACTTGACTGCTAACCAGAAGTCTGGTGGTTCAAACCCACCAACCACTCCTCGGAAAGAAGGTTGGGCAATCTACTTCTGTAGTGATACCGCCTCGGGAACCCAAGGAGGGGTCACTATGAGTCGGGTCCAACTCGACAGCACAACAACAACAACATATCGTGCCTAAGGCATTTGCTAACCAGAAGGCTGGTGGTTCAAACCCACCAGCCACTCCTCAGAAGGAAGGTTGGGCAATCTACTTCCATAGTGATACCACCTCAGAAACCCAAGGAATAGTCGCCATGAGTCAGTTCCAACTTGACAACACTGTGTTTGTGTGTATAATATCTAAGTAATTGGAGTTTTAAAGAATTTTAGTTACAGTATTGAGAGCGTTGGGAGCTCTGGTAGTGTAGTGCCTAAGGCATTTGACTGCTAACCAGAAGGCTGGAGGTTCAAATCCACCAGCCACTCCTTGGAAGGAAGATGGAGCAATCTATTTCCATAGTGATACCACCTTGGAAGTCCAAGGAGGGATCACTATGAGTCGGGTCCCCCTCGAAGGCACATAACAACATTGAGAGCCTTGCTACTCTTGAGTGTGAGCCATAAATCAGTAGCATCAGAATGATGTAGGAGCTCTTTAGAAACCCAGAATCTCAGCCTCATCTTCCTTAGACCAGAGACCTACTGAGTCAGAATCTGTTTTAACAAGATCCTGGAGTGATTCTTATGCACATGCAAATTTGAGAAACACTTGCTTGGAGAGTGAGAAATCTCAGAATCTGGTCCTGTTTGTTGTTGTTTCCTTGTCTCCTCCTCCTCCCTCACCTTCCTTTCTTCCTCCACCCCCCCCCCAAAAAAAAAACATGGAAACATCACAATCCCATTAGCAGGCAAAAGGGACAAAACAAACAATTGCACAAGGAAAGAAAGGGAATTTATCTCTTCCTTCTGTGGTGTCATGGGGAACTAATTGGCTAGCTGTCCTTCTAAGCTTGGAATGTTTTTTAGCATCTGGCAGATCCACAACCTTTTGACTCTTCCAGCTTCTCCTTGAGTCATTGTTCACATTGATCCCTGCTCTTAAAGCCAAAGTTGTGTAACTGCATGAGAAGTGGAGTACAGGAGTTAATTATACAGTGTTGAATTTACAGAGGGTGAGCCACCAAGCATCAAAAGCAGGGACTGCCTGTTCCAGTTAAGGGCAAACAGAACAGCAAAGGATTTATTGTTGGTTATGTAGCCTGGGAACCACTATGAATAACAGGCATTGTGAGGCAGAAGAGAAATGGTATAATTAAAAGCCAAGTAAAATACATAAGCCCAGGCCTCCGTATACAAAGATGACTCCAAATGACTTTTTCTTCTCGTAAGTGATGGATTAAAACATAGTCTGGTATAGAGATTAAGAGCTTAGACTCTAGCCCAAAATTTCATGGTTCAAATCCCAGCTTAACCATTTTTGGCTTCATGATTTTCATCTGAAAATAGGGAAAGGAGTAGTTCCTACCTCACAGGTTATAGTAAATAGTAAAGAGAAGATCTATGGATGGTGCAAACAGTTTGTGATGGGCTGCTAACCAAAAGGTTGACAGCTTGAACCCACCGAACAGCTTTCTGGAAGAAGAGGCCTGCTAATCTGCTTTCCATAAAGATTACGGCCAAGAAAACCCTGTGGAGCAGTTGTCCTCTGTAGCACGTGGAGTAGCCATGAGTGGCGGACTTGATGGTAGGTAACAGTGGAACATGTAGAAAGTACTTAGCAGAGTGTCTGGAACATAGTAAGTATTCAGTGAATGCCAGGTGTTGTAAAAAATTATTTCTATATGGTTTTTCTCATCAATTTCCCTTGTATACAATAACATGATTTTATGTCATTTAACTGGGCTGTGATCTATGGCTATGAAAAAGAGCTGCAAATTTAACTAAAGGAACTTATCTAAAGCTAAAGAATGTTTACTGATCATTTCTAGGATAATGACTATGTTATCATATCTAGGTATAATAAGTGCAGTGTCAGGGAGTGTGATAACAGAAAATGAGAAATACACAATCCCTTGAGGCACTTAAATTCTGAATTGAAGGAGATGAGATATAGCCTTGTTGTTGCTGTTTCTATTATGTCCCATTGAGTCAGCCCCTACTCATAGCAACCCCTCCTTGGGTTTCTGAGGCAGTATCTCTACGGAAGTAGATTGCCCAACTTTCCTTCTGAGGAGTGGCTGGCGGGTTTGAACTTCAGCCTTCTGGTTAGCAGTCAAGTGCCTTAGCTAGAAGAAAAAACCAATAGATGATTCCAATGCAACATATTCATATGCTGAAAAGTATATAATATGAATTAGGATATTTAGAATGATTGAAAGGTTACTATCAATATTGATCATTAACAGATTTTATTTTAAGTGTCTTGTACAAAGAAGGAGGGGGAAAAGAGAACTATTAGAACTATTGAGCAAAACTATAGTTTGACTTGTGCTAAGGATTTTTTTAAAACCTCAGTATTTCACCTCTTTTTATAAGCATAGCAGTCTTGGCTCTTGATTTAGAAGCTGACTTGAGCACTAGAGGGCAGAATATGCAAAAGTAATGAATGCTATTAATACATTTAAAATAGCTACCATCCTCACCCTTCATCATAGTTATATGCAATAGAGCATGGGCAAGAGAGGAATTTCTGAAGGGACTAATCAGATGCTATCTTATAATTTCATCATTCTAACTGATGTTGATAACTTTTTAATGCATTTGTAGATAATTTAGGCTTTAGAGAAAATAAGAAACTATGAAAGTTCATAAATGCTCAACAAAAAAGGCTGTAAATTAAATGATAAGAGAAAACATCATAGAGCTTGAGATGGTTGCCAAGAGCTCCGGTGGCGTAGTGCCTAAGGCATTTGACTGCAGATTACAAGGTTGGAGGTTCAAACCCACCAGCCACTCCTCCGAAGGAAGACCGGACAATCTACCTCCGTAAAGATTTACCACCTTGGAAACCCAAAGGGGGTCACTATGAGTCGGAATCAACTCAGCAACAAGGAGGATGAAAGGTAGCTTAGAAAAAGGTGGTTTAGAAATAGTTATGTAGAAAACCATATTGATCCTTGTTCTCTATTCGCTGAGATTCCTGCTGCCCCCTGCTTGTTCAGAAATGAGTTTCGGGAAGATGCTTACATCTGCAGGCTAGGGATTGGATTCGTGCTGGGGAGAGGCAGGGATAGATAGAGTTGGTGGCAGGAAAGCAGTCAGCAGCTTATACATTAAACTTTTAAAAAATGAAAAGACCCTGAACTAGGGCTCTGGTAGCTCTGGTGAAAGAAAGAGACAGGTTTCTGAGGTCAGTTGTTCTATCTAAGACAATTTTAAAAGGAGCCTAGTGACCTAAGCTGTTTATAATTTGCAGCTAACCTAAAGGTTGACAGTTCAAACCTAGTCAAAAGCTCCATGGAAGAAAAGGTTTGGTGATCACTTCTGTAAATATTAGTCAATAAAATCTTATGGGGCAGTTCTACTGTGTAATACGGGGGTCACCTTTAGTCAGGGGCCTATTCTATGGTGGCTAACAACAAAGAAAAACAAATTTAGAGGCCTCATACTCCCCAATCTCAAAATCTACTATACAGTCACAGTAGTCAAAACAGCCTGGTATTGGTAAAATGACAAGCACAAAGACCAATGGAACAGAACTGAGAATCCAGAAATAAATCCATCCACCTGTGGACAGCTGATCTTTGACAAAGAGCTGAAACCTATTAAACGGGGAAGAGATAGTTGCTTTAACAAATAGTGCTGGCAAAACTGGGTATCCTTTTGCAGAAAAATGAAACAGGATCCTTATGTCTCACCATGTACAGAAACTAACTCAAGATGGATCAAAGACCCAAATGTAAAACCTAAAACTAGAAATATCATCAAAGAAAAACTAGGGGCAAACTTAGAGGCCCTAACACATAGCATAAATATACTATCAAACATAACTAAAAATGCACAAACAGCAGAAGACAAATTACTTGGCTAGGACCTCCTAAAACTTAAACATTTATGCACATCAGAAGATTTCACCAAAAGAGTGAAAAGAGAACCTAAAGATTGGGGGTAAAAATTAGCAATGACATATCAGACAGGAGACTAATCTCTAAAACTTATAGAAAACTTCAACATCTCAATAGCAATAAGATAAACAATCCACTTTAAAAATGGGCAGAAGAGACAGGAACAGACACTTCACCAGAGATAATAAGGTGATTAACAAACACCTGAAGAAATGCTCGTGATCACTAGCCATTAAAGAGATGCAAATCAAAACATTAATGAATATCTTAGGATTCATCACAAAGTTCAAAAAAAAAAAAATAGAAAATAAATGCTGGCAAGCATATGGATAGACAAGAACCCTCATATACTGCTGGTGGGACTCTAAAATGTACACCACTGTGGAAAATGATATGGTGCTTCCTTAAAAAGTTGGAAATAGAAATACCATATGAACCAGCAATCCCACTACTAGGTATATATCCTTAGAGAAATAAGGGCTGTGACATGAACAGATATATGCACACCCCTGTTCATCGCAGCATCATTCACAATATCGAAAGAATGGAAACAACCTAAGTGCCAACAATGGATGAATGAATAAACAAACTGTGGTAAGTACACACAACAGAATACTATGTAATGTTAAAGAATAACAGTGAACCTGTGAAACATCTCATAACACGGATGAGCCTAGAGGACATTATGCTGAGTGAAACTAGTCAATCACAAAAGATAAATATTGTATGAGACCACTACTGTAAAAAGTCAAGGAAAGGTTTACACACAGAAAGAATCATTCTTTGAAGGTTACCAGGGGTGGGAGTGGAAAGGAGGTAAGTTATTAACTAAAGGATAGACACATAGAGGAAAAGGTTACATATAATAAGGGAGAGGTCAGCACAAAATGATCAAGGCACAGGAAGACACTAGGAAAAGCACAAGAGTTAAAGGCAATAATACTTTTACACAACCCTCCAATAACAGTAAGAATAGTATCTACGAGTGGATACATAGACACTAAAACTGAACAAAGGTGGGAAAGTTAATGATACTACACCAGTTTTATAGATAGCTTTGACAGAGGATATTGCTACGTATGTATTTATATGTATTGTAAATATATATCTATGAATATAGTTGAGCACACTGGAGGCAAAGTTATGAAAATGTCTTAGCCATAACTAAACACCTTGAGGCAATGTAGTCACTGGGCCTGTGGGCTCAGAACCATAGTCTCTGGAGATACCAAAGCCAATTGACAACATAGTCCACAAAGCAGTGTTTCACATCCTACTTTGATGAGTAGTGACTGTTGTTGTTGTTGTTGTTATGTGCCATCGAGTCGGACCCGACTCATAGCGACCCCTCCTTGGGTTGCCAAGGGAGTATCACTACGGAAGTAGACTAGGGTCTTAAAAGCTATAAGCGGCCATCTGAATCGCAACTATTGGTCTCTCTCTTTCTGGAGCAAAGAATTGTGAAGAAAATCAAAGATGAAAGGAAACAATTGTTCCAAAAGACTAAGGAATCACATGAACCCCAGACTAGAAGAACTAGATGGTGCCTGGCTATCACTGCTGACTGCTCTCAGAGGGATCACAATGTGAGGTCCCAGATAGAGTGGGTAAAAAATGTGGAACAAAACTCAAAATCATAAAAAATACCAGGCTCACTGATTTGATACAGAGTGGTGGAACCCCCAGGACTGTGGCTTTTAGATACAAGCCTGGAACTGAACTCATTCCCATGGCTCAACTTTCAGCAAAATGATAGGCACCACCTATAAGGTGAATGATAGCAACAGGGAGGTAACACATGCATTGTTAGAACAATCAACCATACAAGATCAAAAAGGCAGCATTTGCCCAAGGGTAAAGCTCAGAAGGCAGGAAGGATAGGAGTGAAAGATGAAGGGAAATGGTAAACTGAGGGAGGAAGTAGGAAGAGTGCTGTTACATTGTGGGGACTGCAGTCAGTGTGTATGAATCGATGTGTATGAACTGTTGAATGGAAAATTTAGGAAAAAGAAAACCCTCCGGAGCACAGTTGTGCTCTGACACACATGGACCACCATTAGTTAAAAGAAAAAAATGGCAAAAAGGCATTGTTGAGGAATAAACAGCCAGGGCCATCTCCATTTCTAGAAATAAGTGAAAAATTGGCATCTGGCAGTGGATGGTTAAACATGGTGGGAGGGTCACTTGAGGCCTAATTCCTTCAGCCCGTGATCCCTTCTCGGTACTTGGTTCATGGTCTCTCACCTCATCTAATCTTTCTTTCTCTTTGCTGATTTTCCACAGTGCTCATGTGACACAAGTCAGCAGTGTTTCAACAACTGGAGAGTAAGTTATTTCAACTTTTTTCCCCCCTTTTTCTTTTATTAAAGCAGAGAAAAACAATTCTGGTAGGGTTAGAATATCAGGTTAAGACAATAAGCAATCAATGATAACTTTTAAAGTTAACTCCAACAGCGGAGAGAATTAAATGAGAAGCTCCTATTTGAGCTTTTGTATGGATGTATGACGGGAGACAACTCAGCCTTTTGAAAATATGAGCTTTATATTTGCTTCATGGAAAATAATGTCAGTGTCAACTGATATTTGCAAAGAAAGCAGTCTATGTACTTTGAGTAGTATCTTGCAATAAAAAAAATATTATTTAAGTCAGTGCTACTTCTCAATCTGAAAATTAATGTGTGTGTGTGTGTGTGTGTATATCGATAGATAGATATATAGATAGATATATATATATCTTTTTCAAGTGAAGAAAAATCTATTTTGAGGAGTATAAGTTTAGAATTTTCCTTGGCAGATTATTCAGAATTAAATAGTATAGTGATAAAAGAAGGTTTAGAACATTAAAGGATTATGCAGCTTTTAAAATGATACCATTTATATCTCATTATGCACTCTTCTCAGCCCATTGTGCTTACTTGTTTTCCTCAGGTTGAACAAAGTTAATCTCTCCTTACTACTGTTTGCATGAATGTAGCTTCGATTATATACATCACAACTTAATAGACAGAGTTCAGGAAAGACTATGGCCATGCTATTATATGTAGTAAATGTCCTGATGAGATTTTATTATGTTTTTTAAATAGCAATATTCCCTATATAATTTTACCTTAAGGGGATTCTAACTTGTATTATGGGAATCATGAAATTATTTTTGTCACTTTGCTTTACAAATCATACATTCTCTGCAGAGCTAATACGAAATCTGGAGGAAATTTGTCTTTGTAAGAATAGGTTCACTTTTATTCTGTGAGAAAAAAAAATTCCCTCATTCTGCCTTGTATTAAATGACCTTTATTTCCTTAATCGCTTCTGTGTTTGTTGTTGCTGTACTTCCTGTGAGCATCTCAGTAATCCTGGACTCAGAAAGATGAGAAACACAATTAACATCTTGGTGGAATTTGTTTAGTTTTGTTTTGTTTCTAGCCCCCGATACAAACACTGTGGAGATTAATGTTTTGTACATTGTCTTTACTCAACCAAATATAGTAAATCTGCCATTAGTTCCAATAAAAATATTTTCAAAATTATGAACACATACTTTTAAAGGCAACCATGGATAAAGGATTGCTCGATTGACTGTATTCTTTTTTGTGTGTGTGCCAGACTCTTAGAAAGAACCATCCGGTCAGCTGTAGAACAGCATCTTTTTGATGTTAATAGCTCTGGAGGTCACAGTTCAGAGGACTCAGAATCTGGAACATCATCAACATCTTCCACAGCATCTGCCAGACAGAGACGACGCCAGTCCAAGGAACAGGATGAAATTCGACGAGCCAGAGACATGTGAGTTGGCGTTAGAACTTTTACTTGCTTGAATTTTAAACATACACCTAAATAAGTCAGTCAGTGTGTTATAATCACACCTAGCCTCTCCTATTTCAGTATTTATGTTAAAACTAAAAGTTTTTGTTTTGACCATTCTAGACTTAGATAACATTTGGGAATTCATAGGTGATTGAATAATTATTTCATTTTCTTCTATATGTTTGGGATGATGTAGAAAGCCGCCTCTGATTTAATAAATATTATAGCTTCTTCATGAATATCTTACTCAGAGGAGACCTGAACCATGGGAGAAGTTACTTTGTGCCTATCCAGGAACAAAGTTGATTTTTTTCATGTTAGACAACACTTAATTGACTTAAGAGTCAACTAAATGTGACTTAAATATGAACCAACATATTTCCCTGGTGTATTTACCTGATTAAGTGCTAGATTTTCACTATAGTACTCTGACTATTGATTATATTTTAGGATAAGAAAGATTGAACTTAACTCTAATCAAAAAGGAAATGTTTAAGTTCTTTATTATTTTAAAGACTAATTTTAAGAATTCCCACAGTGTAAATGTCAAGCATAGGGAGCTTTATTCTTCATTAAAAGATTTTATGAAATACAGATGAGCAGTTGTTACCAGTTTATATTATTTAATAATCATGAATTAAATTGTCAGGGAAAATAATTATATATAAGAAACTATAGTCATATGGTATTTTTCCTGAAAGGCTCCAAGTTTATTTCTGTGTACTGTAGCATTTGGGCTATCTGCTTCCATAAAGATTTACTGCCTCAGAAACCCAAAGGGGGTTGCTATGAGTCAGAATCAACTCGATGGCAGTGAGTTTGGGTTTCTTGGTAGCATTTAGTCTCCGTGAAGTTATTGTTTTGAACTCCATAAATGTCCAAAACTAAACCCGACCAAGTCCACCTCATTCTCTTCACCTGGACTCTTAATCTACATTATTTTAATGAAAAAAAAAAAAAAAAAAGGAAACTTTTCTGCTTAAAGAACTATACAAAAATAAATAGTATTAATAAATTCCGTGCTGCATATCATTTAGCACTATATTAACAAATGTAATTGTAGAATTACAAGAATCAATTATATAACCAATTGACATTTTAAGTGGCATATGCAACAGTTTTTTAAAAAACAATTTGTCTTGGAACTGGTAGCTGGGAGGGAATGCTGCAATATTCCATTTAGAAATATAGAAAAATTATAATAGAGAAGATACTTACATTTAAAATTAGCTGATGACTGACCTGTATAGAAAGTTTTTTGAGAACATAATTAGTTTACTGTCTAGACTGTATTGTAGAGCAAGTACTAGTTATTCATTTAACACAGTTCTTTACTCTGCTTCTTTTTTTCCCCTGCCAAATAGTGTGTGCAACACTTTGCATTTTTTAAAATAACCTTTTGTGTGTCATGACATTCTGCTTTCCACATACTTTGGCCAGATGGATAGCAAGTAGAGGTTGAAGATTATAGCAAGATTATAGATGGATAGCAAGAAGAGGTTAACATGATAGTGAGACCAAAGATTGATGTGATAGTGCTAATAGTGGGTATAGGGGCAGGCAGAGGAGGAAGATAGCAGGGAAGAGGGGTCAAAATGGACAAGGACTGAATAGGGCTATTGATTTGTTATCTGTCTAAACAACCCTATGATTTTACATATTTGAATGGAGGCAGAGTCATTAAACTCCCTAAATTCATTCAGCTACTTGGCTGGATTTAAGTTCAAGCAGAGCTGGATTTAAGTTTGACTGCAGAGCCAAATCGTCTACCCACTAGCAGCCCCTTCCTCAAAGAACTAAGCCTAGGTGTAGTGGGAGAAACAGACCAATCACCTTACTTAGAAGTACATCAATTCTCACTAACATGGCAATGTGAAACCATAAAAATGGCAGTGCAGGCAAAAACCATGCAAAGTAATCTTAAGTGGAAAAGTTATGATTGTTCTACAGTCTTTAAAATTTTTTGTGAAAACATTAAAAACTTACTGTCAGTTATAAATGAATAGTGAAGCAGGATGAAAAGGTAAAATTATTTCATATACTATCGTTTTAAACACTAGAAACACTGAGAATTAAAGTGTTTTATCTCTGTAAAAAAACATATATCAATACTTTGAATAGTATTTACCTTTGTTTCATCCTATAACTTACACTATGGAAGGATTATCTTTTCTGTGTCCTGGCAAATTATCATACTCCTTTCTACGTATGAATCAGCTATTAACCTTTTATTCTCTGTACTTTCAACACTGTGAAATATCTTCAAGAGTTTCTTTAATGTGAATTTTTTGCCAGTGACACTTCCTCTGGGACCTCTTCATCCATTTCCTCACAATCACTTTCCTGCTGAAGTCAGTAAGTTCACCTACACTGAGTTCCTCTGACTGCATATCTAGACCCATTTAAACAGCAGCTGTGTCAACATTCCCACAGTCAGCTTTTTCTTGTATAACTCCATTTACATTAAACTTGAATTTCATTTCAAGAGTTAAGCTTTTTGCTTCTTTGCTGCACTTTCACGCTTATTGACTAGAATTAGTCATTTTTCAATTATTCATTTTTGAAAAACGTCATGAGACTTTATTACTGGAAGACAAAGAGGTAACACAAGTACACACTTTGCTGTCTGTGCATGCACTGAATAGCAGAGGATCAGTAACCAAGCACTGACAGACTTGAAAGGAGTGATAGGATTGGTCAGTGATCATGATGCACATCTATTACTTATGTACTGATTTGTATACCAACAACCTAACAGTAAAGACTGTTCTTTATGCAGTTACTCACAGTTAACATAGAGTGGTAACTACGATTCAAACCATGGCATTGGAGGATTGCTTTTATTTAAGTAACCCATGCTAACTGAAATCCATGCCTCTCAGAACTGTGCAAAGCAAGCACTGCCCGTATATGCAAGATAAGAGAGGGCATAGAGGAAGGAATGATTTAACACTGAGGGGAAGGAGACAGAGTCATGGATTCTTTGGGGAATTGATGTCTAAGGTGGGTTTTGAGTACTGAAGTAGTTTACCAGGCAAGCAGATAGGGAGAATTGTTGCGGGGGGCGGGGGGCTACCATATACAAAGGCATGGTTGAATCCATTGTAAAAGCAACAGTTTCTAGACAATCAAGAAAGCTTTATTTGCTTTATTTTGGATAGGTATTACATGTGATAATGGCACTGTAGCTAAATAAGAAAATGTCCATATTTTTCTAGGTGTATTTTGGCATGGGATGAAATGATATGATGGCTGAAATTTCCTTTAAATATGTAGGCAAAGAAAAACTGAAACTAGAAAGTTACGGTTATTAAAGCAGATCACGTCGTTGTTGTTGTTGTTGTTGTTATGTGCCGTCAAGTTGGACCCAACTCATAGCGACCCCTCCTGGGGTTTCCAAGGCAGTAGATTCTACTACGGAATCACTACGGAAGTAGATTGCCCCATATTCCTTCCGAGGAGTAGCTGGTGGATTTGAACCACCAGCCTTCTGGTTAGCAGTCAAGTGCCTTAGCTACTATGCTATCAGATGATAGTTACATAAATACTCTTCTCTGTTTCATGTCTGAAATTTTTCATAACATGTTTTCTAAAAAAAATGAAAAGAAGAAATTAAAAGAATAAACTGGAAAGACCAAACATAAAAAGCTTGATAATTGTTGAATCCTGTTGATTATGTTATAATATACCCTTCTGTATATGTTTGAATTTTTTCACAATTTTTTTCCAATAGCAAGGCATCATTTAAGTGAAAATGGTTTTAATCTCCTAAAAAAAAATGAACTAGAAAATTATATTTATGTAACGAAGAACATGTTTCTTTGTTATATTAATATTATGTTAAATTTCTACTACAAATTAAAAAAGAAAAGCAAGTTATCTTAAGGGAATACTCAGTAATTACGTGTTGCTACAACATTCAGTGTATAGGTAGGGGTGAAGAGGGAATCTAGATAATTAATGTGAGAAGCCACAGAGTTCTAAGTTCAAGTCAAATATAGGTTATGTCAAATAAAATTGAAACTTGTCAGGATGTGGCAGGAAGAAATTGTGTACAAGTACTTGACAAACACACAGGTACTCAGACTGACACACAGTCATTCATGTATGCTAAAGGGAAGACTTAACTCTGGGGAGAACGAGATTTTCACAGGAGATAATTGCACGATAAGATTTTTCTGTGTTTATTTTGATGCAGTTTATTCCAGTCATTCATTCACTGTTCAAAAGAGTATAAAATGAATTTTGTCTTTTTAAGTTTTTTAAATAATTGTTATCTTTCAAACAGAAAATTCCCTCCATTAAAAAAAAAACAACAACTTATATTTAGACATATGGCCTAGGTGTTAGGGAAAATATGAAGAGATAAGAAAACAGTATTTATGTAGGAAAGAAAGTATTTTGAGTTTGAGACTAATTTTCCTCCAGTTGTCCACAGAAGGCAGTGCAGTCAGGTGATGGAGGGGAGAGATTTCAGAGTGTTTGCGTGAGGATATGTGCTTGCAAGTTAGTCTCTAATTAGTTTCCCTCATGTCTTCAATTATTTTCTACTTCGGATATTTCTTTGAAATGCTGCATCAATCTTTTATGATATTTCACTAAGTCTATGTATATTTTACATTAAAAGTTATGGAATATAAGACTAAATTAACTATAGACTTAAAAAGTACCAAAGATAGCCTAACTTTGAATATTTATGATAATACTTAATTCATAATTTTATCTCCATGATAGCCTAAGAGGCAGTGAATTTAGATTGCAGAATAAATATTTAACTTTATCTTTATAATATTTGATATTTGATATGGTTAGTTTGGTGGTAAAATACTGTTATTTTTTAATTTTTAGAGCTTATTTATTTCAAGATACAACTTTAGATGTTTGGGGAGGTGCATTAACTCAGTCATACCATGAGGGAAAGTAAAAGCTCACCTGTACCTTACCAAGTCATGGTCATTTGGACAGGGACTATACTGATGGATTAATTTATTCCATGTTGTGGTAAAAACAACTGTTTGCTAAAAGGACAGATATTATAAGTTCCCTCTTATATGAAATACTTGGAATAGGCAAATGTATAAAGAACAAATTTTATTAGTAGTTACCAGAGGTGAGGAGGGAGGAAAGAGTGAATCATTGCTTAGAGGACACTGAACTTCTGTTAAAAGATGAAGGAAAAATTTTGGAAACATGACGATGGTTACATGACATGGTGAATATAATTCACGTCGCTGAATTGTATGTGTAAAAACTGTTAAAATGGCAAATGTTTTGTTATTTTGTTATTTACATACATACCACTATTTCAGTGCCATCAGATGAATAAAATTGTATAATTAGGACATTTGTATTTATTTCTGAAACTAAGTCATGAAGGATCACTACATTATATACTTACATGCTGGTACTCTTTTAACTGGAAAATAACACATCTGCATTTCAGTTAAAATGCTTTGTAGTCTATAGCTTTTAATACTATTTCAATCAAGATTATCAGATTCAGTGATTTAAATATATTTAATATGTTTATCATGTGCTAAAATGTTTTTATCATTTGGGAAAATCAGTATGTCGTATTCTAGAGGAGATATCATATTCCTTTTCATATTTTTCTCCATGTAGTATATTAATTTTATAAGATTAAAAATGGTCTGCTGTGAATAGTGGAAAATTTTTGTGCAAAGTTGCACTCTTCTCCCTGTTTGAATAAAAGCTGTTCAGTGGTAGAAACATACCTGTTAAAAAACCATTGCTGCCAAGTCGATTCCAACTCATAGTAACCCTGTAGGACAGAGTAGAACTGCCCCATAGTTTCCAAGGCAGTAATCTTCATGGAAGCAGAATACCACATCTTTCCCCTGGATGGAAGCATAACCTTTGCCAATTTGCCTCTAGGAATAATTTCTTTTTTAGATTCATTTGACAGTAAGTGGTCTCCGGAGTAGCAATCTACTGACTTTGATTGAAAATGCAAACTGCAATTTCTTGGCGTTCTTCTGATTTCTTATGCAATGTGTGGCAGTATTATTAAACACCTTTCTTTTAAAATAAAGTCGTTTCTTTTCTATTCAAGGGGACTTATCAACAAAGAAAATATTCCTTCTGGATTCAGCAACCTTGAAGACTGTATTTTGAGTGCTCAGGAAGTTGAAAAATTACAGGAGAATAGTTCTGGTTATATGGGTGAAAGGAGCAAACCTAAACGTCAGAAATCCAGTACCAAACTTTCTGAGCTCAATGAAAATCAAGATGGTCTTGTGGTAAGTGAATATTTGTATAAAATTATTTAGGGAATATCATATCTCTTTTTTTTTTTTTTTTTTTTTGCTTTGTAAAAAAATATCAAAAATAATTTCAGAGTCTTGAGTTTCACAGAATTATAAGAATTTAGAGCTTCTAAGTATTAACTCACTGCCATCAAGTCAATTCTGACTCATAGCGACCCCCTGTGGGTTTCCAAGGTGGTAAATCTTATTCAGAAATTAGATTGCCCCATCTTCCTTCTGAGGAGTAGCTGGTGAGTATGAACCACCAACCTTCTGGTTAGCAGTCAAATGTCTTAGACACTATACCACCAGAGCTGCTTACTAAGTATACATACATTGTATTTTTTGTAGTAAATATAAAATAGTAGAGATATTCTATTCTGCTAGAGGAAGCAAAATACTGATTTCCATGTTTTCTAAATTGCTTTGATTTTTATCTCATGCTTTCAAGCATTTTTAAGTTTTATTTTTGGGATTAAAATTTTCAGTAAAACATCTTTTTACATTTTCCTTCATTCTATTTGTTCTTGTCTATAAGATTATATATATATATAACATTTTAATGAATCAATTTAGAGTGAGGTAAAATAAAAATAGATAGGAACAGACCATCAGTAGTCAAGCTCTTTGTATTCAGAAATTTGGCCTCAAATGTCATTTTATAAATTATTTTTCTCCAAATTAATTAGAAACAAAAAGAAATTAATCTTCTGCTGAGTTGCCTCAGACCTGAATCATAGGTTATTGATTTGATACATGATTTTTTTATAAATTCTTTCAATCAGTAACTGAATATTTATTCAATATAAGTATTAATAGGCATAATCCATTTTTCTTGTATGCTTCAGTTTCACTGGAAAATGTCACATGCTAACACAAATGTCTGTCTTCTAATTTTTTTAGGTTTAAATTTCAACAAAAAATACCATATAAAATAAAAAATTGTATAATGTAACATGAACTGTTGTTGTTGTCATTGTTTTCCAACTCAAGGCAACCCCTCCTTGGGTTTCCGAGGCAGTATCACTACGGAAGTAGATTGCCCAACCTTCCTTCTGAGGAGTGGCTGGTGGGTTTGAACCACCAGCCTTCTGGTTAGCAGTCAAGTGCCTTAGGCACTACACTACCAAAGCTCCTGACATGAACTGTTGTTGTTGTTGTTGTTGTTGTTATGAGCCGTCGAGTCAGCCCTGACTCATAGGGACCCCTTCTTGGGTTGCCAAGGAAGTATCACTATGGAAGTAGATTGCCCAACCTAGAATACCTAATAAAAATAGGCAGTATTCATTCTTACTAATCAGTGTGTAAATCCTCTGACCTACCTTATCTCTGATAGTTTTTAGCCCTATGCTAGGTTTTCCATACATTTAACAAAACTTACAGGCCACCTATTTTTATTGCTAATATCTGTGTCTGTTTGAGTAAAACATCTGATTTTGCCTTAAATAAAATACAGTTTACTTAAAATGCAGATATAAAGGAAAACATTTATATGATTTTTCCCCAAAATATACCAATTCTCAAAAAATAATAATACTGATGGTGATGATTCTTAGTTTCTAAGAGTAAACTAATCAGCCGAACAGAGAGAATTAATCTCAGACCGTAACTAATACAGTTCACAAACTAAAAGATTTAAGATTTGGACCCATACTGCTGTCACGCTGACTCCAACCACAGCAACCTTATAGGACAGAGGAGATCTGCCCAGTAAGGTTTCCAAGTCTGTAGTCTTTATGGAAGCAGACTGTCTCATCTTTCTCTCACAGAACTATACCACCAGTGCTCCTTGGAACTATTACACATGAATTATTTTTTGTTTAATATTGATGATTCAATATTTCTTATTGGGAAAAGAAAATGTTTATTTAAAATAAATTATGGTAATTTCATTAAGGAACTCTGGTAGCGTAGTGCCTAAAGCATTTCACTGCTAACCAGAAGGCTGGCAGTTCAAACCCACCAGCCACTCCTCAGAAGGAAGGTTGGACAATCTACTAATGTAGTAATCTCATTAGCTCTTTATGTTGCCTGTGATTTGTGTATCTGCAGTAAAGAATCACAGTGACTAGCAGTCTGAGACATTGCCTTATAGTTTGAAAAGAATATACCTCTCAGCTCAAAGTCCTTTTTACATGAACTTAACCCATTAGTTTTTTTCAACTAGGGGAAGTCTCTTAATTAGGTGGTAGTAGTTAATAGGAGTCCCTGGGTAGTGGAAGCAGTTAACGTGCTCAACTTCTAAACTGCAAGATTTGAGGTTCAAGTCCACCCAGAGGCACCTCAGAAAAAAGGCCTGGGGATCTACTTCTGAAAATGAGCCACCGGAAATCCTGTGGGGCACAGTTCTGCTTTGACACACACGAGATCATCATGAGTCAAAGTCAATGGAATGGCAACTGGTTTCATAGTTAGAAGTGGAAAATACATTCATTCCTTAGAATATATATTTTAGCGATAAAATTATACATACAGTCTTGTTTAAAAACATTTGGATGAATGATCCTAATTCTACTTTGGTTTTTTTGTGTGTGAGAGGATTTGCCCCACTTTAGTTACCAGTTTCTGCATTCCAGCATTGTACATGTCACATGTTATCACAAGTGAGCTAACTGGACCATGTCTTTATTGCAATGAATAATTGAAAACCCTATCAACACAACTTAGAAAGAAGAAAACTTCCTTATCTGTGAACTGAGAGTGTTCTCTAAAATTTTTTCTAACTCTCCTATTCCATTCATTTTTATTTATGTATTTATTTATTTTATTGTGCTTTAGGTGTAAATTTACAGAGCAGAGTTTGTTTTACACTCAATGTTTCGTGTGTATTTGGTTTCACTCCCCAATTACCATCCCCAACCCTAACCCACTCTCCTCTCCTCCTTTCCTAGTAACCCCATCCCCACCTACCCCCCACCCCCCTCACTCCCACCCCTCTGCCCCTCATAGTTATGCACTCCTGTGTGTCCTGCATTTCCTCCGTGTGAATGTTGCCCCTCTGGTGCCCCATGGTCAGTTGCTCCAAGGGATGTATCTCCATAGAGTATTGGGTACGTCACCCTGGTTGAGTTGTCTGCATGTCTTATTTACTATTAGGCTGAGAGCCAGCCCCTGGGGGTGAGTTTTATTCCAGGCCCAAAGTGTATCTCAAGGCCATAGTATTGGGAGTCCCACCAGACTCCATCTGATCAGTAATTCTGGTCATTATTGTGTTTTTGGATTTTGTTCCATGTTTTTCCTCCCACTCTATCCAGAATCTCCAGTTTCGATCCTTTCCCAAGTGGTTGGTATTGGTAGCTGGGAGCCATCTAGTTCTTCTGGTCTCAAGGTCCATTATGTCCTAGGGCTGATTACTCCCAAATGCCCTTAGGTTTTTGCACTCTTCTTTACTTCTGATGATAGGAGACCATTAGCTGTGTCTTAGATGGCCACTTGAAAGCTTTTAAGACCCCAATCACTACTCACCAATGTAGGTTGTAGAGCAAAATTTTTATGTATTTTCTTGTGCCAATTGATTCTGGTGTCCCCCAATATTATGGTCCTGTGTCGGTAGATCTGTTGGATCTCTCTCCCATAGTGTCTGGCTGTCTGTGAGGGATTACTCTGTATCTTTCTTCTGTTGTTTCTGTAAGGATTGAGGGTATTTTTTTATCACTGGTATCTGTGCAAGATTAGCTTCAGCTGAATCTATCCTTGGTCTAGAGTATAATCCTGTTCCATGAACTTTTAAATCTAATCTTCACAAGATAATCATAAAGAAAAGAATATAATAGTCACTAATGTTTAGATTACATTCTGCAAGTTAACTTATTTTTAATTTCTCACTTACTGTTAATATTCTGGGAGCTCTGGTGGCATAGTGCCTAAGGCATTTGACTGATAACTAGAAGGATGGCAGTTCCAACTAATCAGCCACTTTGCGGAAGGAAGACTGAGCAATCTACTTCCATAAAGATTTACCAACTTGGTAACCCAAAGGAGGTTGCTATGAGTGAGACCTCCTACTTTGTTTTCCTTCTTCAGCAGTGCTTTGCTTATCTGAGGTCTGATGACCTATTGTAGTGCAAACACACTGCCTTTGAGTCAGATCTGACTCATAGTGACCCCTCCTTGGGTTTCTGAGGCTGTATCACTAAGGCAGTAGATTGCCCAACCTTCCTTCTGAGGAGTGGCTGGTGAGTTTGAACTGTCAGCCTTCTGGTTAGCAGTCATATGCCTTAGGAGCTCCCATTGTAGTGCAAAGGAGGAGGTAAAAGCCTGATTAGATGGGCTCAGGAGAAAGTAGGAGGAAAGGAATTGAATACTGCATGTATGGAAAGTCTTTGAATGAGTTGTGTTCTAAAGATATGAAGTGAAATGAGACAGCATCTAGAGAGAATGTGAGACTAAAAGATGATTTCTTAAGGGTAGATGGTGTTAGAGAATTAGAGGTAGGAAAATGATGCAAGAGAGAGGGATCCGTTGCAGGAACAATGTACTTGAATAAGTGATAGGGGATGGGACCTAACAAAAAAGTGGAGGGATTTGTTCATAAATTATTTTGCTCTAAAGACCCATCTCATCAGGAACTTAAACAACTTCCCCCTTTGCATGAAGTTTAAGGTTCATCTTTGTGTTCTAACCACAATCTACCTTTCCTCTAAGAAAAGTGAATACTCTTCTAACTTAATTAATGAAGCTCACCATATTTATGCACACATCTGGGATTCCTTTCCTTACATATTATTCAGTAAAGGAAAAATGCACCAGCAACTTTGAATTACATATTTTGTCAACTAATGTTGAACATTTCTCTTCAGAGAGACCCTGTCATGAAAATGAAGGTAATATAAACAGTGTAACAAGTTATAATCAAAGTGATAAACTATAAAAATCATGATGGCAAGGACCAATGTCTATCTTGTTCACTATTCACCATTATATTTTGGGCATTGGGGAATGTCCAAAATAGTTCAGCACTCATTACAAATGTGTTGAAAACTAATGAATGGATG